GTGACAGCAGGGCCTCCTGTTGGTCAGCAAGCTTCTGCTGCAGATCGCGGATGATAATCTGCTGGGCTCTCAGGGCCTCCACAAGCTTCTCCTGCCCCTTGGACAGCTGGAGGTGCAAGATGAGGGCATCTTCTGAAGGAACTTCATTCTCCCCTGTCATGAAATAAATGCACGGTGAAGGGGGGAAAAAAACAGGGAGAAGAAATTGATTAGATGTCATTAAGCCTTTCCTGAGGTGTGACTTCTCCAAACAGTGCTGACAGTAAGTGTGAACAGCCTGTGACTCCAGCTGCATAGCCAGCCGCAGCCAAGTGTAGCCTACTAAAAGTTTCCTGTATGGAGCCACATCAAAGAATTCAAAATTTTCTGGGCAATTGACTCTGAGACATTTTTCCAGTCCAGCTACTCTTTGCCCTGCAGGTATCTTTTTTTCTTTCTTTCTTTTTTGTGGGGGGAGGCTGAAGGTCAACAAAGTTGTCATTTGTCTCCAGAACACTCTTGTGTGAGAGATTGTAAGTCAGTAAAGGGCAGCATGCATTTGAGTTATTTATATACACCCACCTTTTAGTAAAAGCATATCACTTTTAAGGAAATTGTCAAGAGTCACAATGTGCATGTCTGCATTTTGTTTTTGTTCCTGGCATGCAGGAACTTATAATATAATGTTAAATAGATAAATAGATAAATAAATAAATAATACATAATAATGTTGATGAACATAGCAGACCTGGCTTGATATCACATGTAAGCTGGACACCTAAAGGCGCTGCGCCAAGTTCCGACGATGGATATCCAAACTCCGGAAAATCCCCCAGAAACTGCGCGGCTCTGTCCGACAGATGTACAGGAGGCACGCTCTCCTCTGAACCGGCCAGACATCCTTCTCCCACACAAGCCACTGCTCGAGCTTTTGGCCGTATCCTCAGCGGCAGTCTGCACTCGATCCCTTTACAGTCTCTGGTGTCATTGCCGGGTTGAAATTGTCTCACATGAACAGCGCACTCCGCATCGGTGCATCCTGCAGGTAAAACTTCAGGCGCACTCCGAGTGCTGCCGTCGCTGTGCCGCCCGCGCAGTAGCAGCTGGGCGCCTGGAAAAGTCTCCGATGCCGCTCTTGGAGAGCTCGGGTACACGCGGTGTTGGCCGGCGGCTACATGAGCCGTTTTCCCCTGCGTTGACGGGTTAAACTGCCGCGGGGGTCTGGAAGATCGGCTCCCCGGACAGTGCGCCCCGGTGCACGGTCTTGGATCGCCGGTGTCTCCGCCATAGCAGTGCGTCCCCCGGCAAATCTCCGCTACAGCTTGCGCGGCGTTGTGCAGCGATACCCAGGAGAGTTGCAGCAACAGCAGAGATGTCAGTAAAAGCATTTTCGCATCTAATATGTGGGCTTACTCTGCCTGCAAAAGAAGGAAACGCGAGGTAAGAGTCCCAAATGGAAAACCTGGAGGAAAAAATCTCAAAGGTGATAACTCATGCCATCACCGATCTCCTTTTCGATTAAACCCACCTCTCACACAACTGAAACAAACTTTACAGACTTGGCAGCTCATCTGTGCACATTACCTTCAGCTCCAGGGTTTAGTGAGGCTGGCTTTTCCCGACCGTCACAAAGGAGTAAAAACACTGGACTCACGCATTACTGCCGGCTCTCTCCATGCCTGACCCACTCTGAGGGCTTCTGCACTATAATGTCAGTGTATGTGGCATTCCTGAGACTTAATTAGCATCAGGTTTCCCCAGCTACAAATTAACCCTTCACCCTCTCCTCTCCCTTGAGTTCCCCTCTGAACTAAAAGGTTTTGAAAGAACAAGAATAAAATGACATTTTTGATGCCTGAAACTGAAACATCCTTTATTTCAACCTGAAACAAATAAACGAAAGGGGAAAATATGACATGTATTTTAATTATATCTCATCTTTTCACTTTTGACTTTGCTCACTGTTGACTTTTCTTTGACCCTGTGGCCCTCTGAGTTGCAAAAACATACAGTACTTTTTGTTTAGCACACCCTGAATGTTGAGACAGCTGCTGGTTCCTCAACCCAGCGTCCTTCATGCTTTAGCGCTGGCCTTGTCAACCCTTTTTATAGACAAAGCGAGCAGAGGTTAAACTTTTGTGAAGAGACCTATGGCAGAAGTCAGGAATGTGAAAACACATCTGGTTTTTGGACTCGCTCCCAATTTCTCTCCTTTTTTTGTTTTTAGTGCTTCTGCACAAGCACATAAGGTTATCTGAGGATGACGTCTGCATGGATGTTATTAGTTAAGCAGTTCTGATATTACTGTCTTATTCAAAGGTCCAGGAGCCAAATGAATAGATGCAAAAGTTGTATGATCATATTTAACTGAATAACTCAAGATTTAGCCAAATTTCAGAATATTTAAAGCAAAATGCTGGACATTTTACAGCATCATGGGCACAGACTCTTAGAAATGTACATGTTTTAGTTTACATCACTCATTTATATGTTTTGTGATTATTGTTTCAGGGTTTCTGAGGTGTTATTTTGTCTTTAGACTTTGATTGTTGTGGACATGTTTGTGTGGATGTGGTTTAGAGTGTTTGTGTGACTGACAGCAGAGTTAGGGTTTAGCAAAGGAAAGGGGCCACTGTGAACGAGGCTCCTGTAGCGATTAATCACATCCAGCCACGGTTTCTATTCTGGGTGGCTGTTAAAAATGTTCAATCAAAAAGAGTTCCTGTACCCATCTGGTGCAAAGAAGAGAGGAGCTGAGGCGAGGCAGAACTCAAGAAAGACAAGTAGCTGCGTCCAGAGTGCAACTTTTCATCTTCAAAGTAAAGACGAAAGGTTACTTAATTAATTGCTTATGACGGCCAATCAAATGGCAGTAATTTACTGTAAAGCTTGTATTCTATAACACACAGCAGTGTAAATTTGATTAAAGAAGTCACACTGTCCAATTAAACAGTTTAATGCTGGTAAAAATGTACCTTATGATTTTATTATAACATAATCATGCCTTTTTCTCTTTTAATTTTGTCTTTCCGTGTCACATTTTGGGGGTTTTTTGCTCACGTTTTCGACTCTGCCAGTCACAGCAGTCATCCTAGCCCATGTTAACAAAAGCAAACCTCATTGTACTCATTTATTGGGCTCAGATGGCAAATAAATTCAGCCAAGCAGAATAAGGAGGGCTGTATCAGGAATCCATTCGTATGTTCTTGCATTCAAAAACATCCAGCTAGCAGTTGCTCGTTATCCCAGGGCAAACTTGCGGTGTTGATCATTGCACCACAAAGAGGGAGTGGGGAAAATAACTGGTTGGTAGGTTCACACCTCCCACTGATTTCAGTCATGTTTGGCATGTACAGTACAGCAAAGAACAAACAGAGGGCACTAAAAGACTCCTGCACGCATCACTTTTCACATCAGCTCAGTGACAGTTTCTCCTCTGCAGCACTACATATCGTTTTGCAAGGTGCCCACTGGTTTTGTCATTATCACCCCATTTCCTTTTAGTGCCCAGGCACAAGAAATGCATCTTGAGGTGTGTTGGAGCGCTCAGAATGCAGACTAATGGCTAAAAAGAATGCTCCACACCTCACACCTTACCATATGCAGTTCTGCAACTTTCAAGCCGACAGACTTTTCTTTGTGCAGTAGAACTCAAGGCTCGACACTGCAGATCCCCCTTTAAGCGCACAGTTTGATTAAATAACTAAAAAATAACAATCTCGTTCAGCTTCTTGGCTCGGTGCTGTGATGTATGAGCTGCAACATATGCTGGCAAAAACCATTATCAGAATCAGCTCTCCTGGACCACCCTCAGTCTCCGAGGAGAGCGCAAACGCAAAGCGGAGCAGACAAAAAAATCCCCTCTGCTGCCGAGCTCCACAACTGTTAATCAGTGTATTTATTTGAGAAATGTTCTCCGAGGCACTGGCGTGCTTGTGTTTGGGAGATGTTTAGAGCTAATGGGAGGCTGCCTTTGGTGTCCATCTGTTTGTCAAACCCTGAGAGAATGAGGAAATGAGGGTGGTTGGGACACATGCTTGTACCCAGGGTGTTTGTTTAATACATCACGAGTCATGAAAGACTCTTGGAAGCATTCAAGGTTATTTGGTTTCCCCCTCGTGGTGCTCAGATTTGCCATATGATGACGGGATTTTGCCACAGTGGTTTGTCTTTGCTGTCACGGCTCAGGCTGGTCTTGAGGGGAAATGGGACATAGAAGTGTTAATATTAGTAAAGATCAAGATAATCTGTTCTGTTAGGCATAATTTTGAATTCATTTTTTTTTATATTGTATGTGAATTCCTTTTAAGGTGGAAAGAGGATAAAAAAAGAGATCAGAAATCTTGTTTTTGGCCTCCCAAGATGACTCAAGGAGAAATGCAAATAAATACAGCTATCTGTGTCTGCACGGTCAGATAACAGAGCCAGAGGCTATTCATAGTTTGACAGTTTAACTCTCCCTGGTTCCTCCTAAAGATAACCGACTTTGTTGCACCACACCATTACCCTAAGACAATTCTTCCTGATTTTAACAATAAAAGCTAAGATTTCATGTTAATTAATATATTCTAGAGCACTCTGCTTACATTTAGGAGGTATGTTAGAGGTTGTACAGCAAATAATGCACTTCATTTAGGAGACTGTATTTTCTAACAAGAATTTAGAGAAGTAAAGCCCAGCTGAAGTGTCTTTCACCACTACAGCGTGCCACTCCTGTCTACAGACTTGCTGTAAATCAGTTTCAGCGAGGTGAATTATTAACCAAGACCCGTCACATTCCTCCCGCTGATTCAGCCTTTCTCTCGATCCAACTGAGGCATTTCTTTTTTCTTTCAATAAAAAAAAAAAAAACGTCCCAATCTGCTCGAGTGGCTGTCAGTCACCCTCGAAGTCTTTGTGAGAAGCCACAACACATTTATGATTTCTCCCTCTCTGTCCCCGTTGGCACAGTTACAGTACAGTGCAGATAAGGAGCACTGTTAAGGAGAGGATGGATCAACGCTGCCCAGACAAGAGTGTTGTGAAAGTGCTGAACTCTGTAGCAGGAATGCAATGACAGGTCTAGACCTGAACTTCCGCGTTAAGCAGGAAGAAGCCAACAGTCAGACAAATGCAATCTTCAATCTGCTCGCACACCCAAAATCTGCCTGCATATGACTTTAATTTTTGGTGTCGAGCTTAATTAGGGAATCGTTTTTCGAAGTGGAGCTGATGTCCATGAAGCTGTTATCTTGAAACTTAGTGGCGAAGCAAAGGATTAACACATTTTAAAAAGGTGAGTTTCATCTCTGTTTGGATGTTGTGCCTTTGGATATAACGGTAACAACCGAAGCTGCTTTCCTCTGAACGCAGAGCGAGAACATTGTTCGTTGATGTCTGAGCACATTACAAGTGAGGATTGTGGTGGCTGTTGTGCTGAAAAACAAAACAAAATAAAAAACAAATGAGAGATTTGTTTGTAATATATGTATATTCAGCTACAGCAGAATAATTTAGCTTGAGGACGTTATGTACAGATATGTTGTAGATGAGAATCTTAGACATCCTGTCAAACTTTGTGAGTTACAGCGCGCTCTGATAAAAACTCTCAAAAGGTTTTAAATTTAATAGTACGAGAAATTAAAGAAAACTCTTTTTTAGAAGATTTTTTTTTACCATGTTTTAATTTGGTAAAAAGAATGTAAGTTCATATCTTTCCAACTGGGTGGACCCCGCTATCGTCTCATAGTGCTGCATGACTCAATAACCACATGAAACTAATAGGGCCGGCCTCTTATATTAAAGTTAATAGTGCTGTCAGTTTGTTGTTGATGACGGGAACATTTTGTATATTTGGCTTGTGGCATTTTTGGTTTTAAATCATGTCACAAAAATATGAAGTGAATTTGTTATGAGTTTAACTGAACGCATTGCTTTCAGAGCGATGGATTAAAAGGCTTTTGGTCGAGGGGGTGTTTGCTTTTTCTAAGAGATGTTAAGCAAGAAATTTTATTAAGGGTACTGAGTGCAGTAGGTTTGAGTCTGATTTGAAACCTGCTTCAGCAAACATTAGGGTTCTGATTCATTTTCATACTCTTCAGTGGTTTGTGCCTGCTGCTCAACCTCTAATTTGCCTACTTTGCAAAAAGAGCACATCAAGTCTTGTAAACACATCTGCTTAAGAGCCTAGCACAGAAATATGATCCGATCATACGAGGGAGAGTTTCTGTATGTTATGGTAAACACTGGAGTTGATGTCTGCTTTTGATTTTCTACCCTGGAGCTACATATGTGTGGCATGTAAAAGGCTGAGACATGTATTTGAGATTATTGGGGGAGGGGGTGTTCTAGAGGCTATAAGCTATGAGGTGCTTTTAGATTTGCTGTTTTTTATTATAAAAAGTACAACAGTACAGTTGCCGCTTTTCACAATGCGCTCATTTGTCGCCCAACAATAACATTTAAGAACGCCGATAGGTCACAAATGCCTTTTGTCTGACAATAAAATAGTGAAAAGTGTGAAGAGACAGTGGCACAGTTTTGTGAATTGAAAGTGTGAAAATGTGACTAGAAGTTCACAAACATGAACTCTGTTGCGGTAAACTGATATATTGAAAGGCACATAAAGCTACAGAGCTTGCAGAGGAAAAATTCCTGGTGTTATTAGTTTGGTTTCTTTGTAGAGCTATTACTCATTCATAAAAGGGACACTGGGGTGACTTTGAATAGTTTAGCTGTTCTGGTCTTCAGCTTTCAAGTTTGCAATTTTTTCCGGTTACTGATGATAAAATCTTTGGCCAGATTTCTTTAAGAATCCTTTAAAAGTCTGATTTTAAACGGTGCTTTAATCATGGCCGTTTCCTTGTGAGGTATTATTGACTATTTGGTCAAATGTAGGATTTATTGTGTTTTCTGTGAACAGCCAATTTATACAACTCCACAGATTGTAGAAATAATCAGTGTAGCTTCCAGATCTAAAACGCATTTGTTCTAGTAGCCACCAGGGGGCGACTCCTCTGGTTGCAAAATGTTATGTTTTAAACCCTCATTTAATTTAATGCAACACTAACTTTATTCATTATGTTTCCATTTATAGTAAAGTAGATGCTGAAGTTGGGTATATTTCACAACCTGTCAACATTGTGTTTGACAAATTGCTTGTTTTCAAATTCACAAACAGCTACTATAACTAGGTAAGCTCTGCCAAAGTACACCAAACTCATCCCCTAAAGCTTGAAAAGTTAGAGTACATTATATTCATTAGTTTCTCTCAAAAAAAAAGTAAAATTTCAAAGGTGGATTTGGTCATCTTTGACCAAATCTAGGATACCTTCAAGCTTCAGAATCCCCCATCCTTAAGGTCACATTTGAGTAAAACTAATTAGTCCACCCATAATCACACTAGTGGTGCTGCAATGACTCTGAGGTTAACACCTTTATCTGTGTATCAGCTGCAGGATCACACCTACAAATAGCCCAGAAAAAGTCCATTCTTCACATTGTGTCTGAGATATCACTCCACTAATGCACACGTCTAAGACACTGAGGAGGGAGTGTGTTAAAATTGGGTCGATTTGTTTTCACCAGCGGAAGCCGTCTTGTTTTCATGGTCTGTTCCTGCCGCTTCTCACTTCTCCTCGCTAATCTGGGAGCGGTTCATTTCATGCATTTGGCGTCAAAACACAGCCTCTCAGCAAAATCTGATTGACTGACTAAACTTCTCTTCCAGTGACTTTAAAACTACTAACAAAAAGTAGCACCAGACGTTCAGAGATGGTGCGTTCTTTTACTCGAAACGTCTCACGCCGACCACGTATAGGTGAAAAAAAGTGACATAATGAGAACTGAGGAAGCAGTACCATGAAATTTGCAGGCAGCTGCTTGTGTCACCATTTCCGATACCATTTCAACATTGCAAGTTCCAGGAAGTTTACCAGTTACCACTTCCTCCTGGGGGTAAACCGTTTGTGTAAAAGGTGGAGGATTGCGCTCACGTGCTATAGCGGTGAGCCCCACATATGTACGTCACATGGAAATTATGGTGCACAAACAAATTCTATCAGTGCGCAGAGGCGTTTCAGTTTATGAACCGTGCGATTTGATATATGACACCAGAAGATTAACAGTTTCTTGTGAGCTTCCAACACGCAGCATCTGTTAGATGTTTGAAACAGTATTGATCCTGTATAAACTCTTTCCTGGAACACAATCAGTCACTCTTGTCTCCTACACAGTGTCAATGAGAGATGTACCCCTGTGTCTTTTAATTAAATTCCAGCAATTTATTTTTTTCATGTTGGATCTAAATGTCATTAAACACATTCCAGACTCTGTGACGAGTGAAAGCAGGGAGTTAAACTCTGCAGCATCGCCCAATATTTTCCTCTCTAATGGACGCTACCACGCAGCAGAGAAAAAAATAAAGACTAGAAGATAGCAATGCAAACATCTGTGCAGAGAATCTCACTGCATGAGTTAAACCAATTAGATTAGGGCTGATTTAAAAAAAGAGGTTGCAGCTACCCCCACCCTTCCTCTTGCACACCCAGTGAAACGCTTTTAATTAGTGCTTAATTCACAAAACCAGTCAGAAATAAGAAGAAAATGCATTACATAACAGACTCATACACGTTGTCATGCTTAGTCACCCTCTAAAGACTCATACAGAGGCTGAAAAAACACAATAATAGGGTAGCTCTTTGATGCTAAGCATTCTTGCAATATGAGGTGTGGCTTAGACACAGTGAGTACAGCGCATCGGTTTCTTAATCAGTTTAACCACACCAAACTTGAGACTAACCCCAGCAATTTATAACTGACCTGAGGCAAACCGAAGCTTATATTCATGCAGTTTAATCACAGTCCGTCAAAATGAGTAAGCCAGCAACACTCGGGTTAGCTGGTAAAATGTCTTGATTAAAAAAGTGTTGTTTTTAAAAAAAGGTCGCACTTATTTTATTGCTTTTACTTTGAACATATTAACAGTGAATCAGGTGTTACTCAGTAACTGTGCTGCGCCATGCTGACATTGTTGTGACGTCAGATTACAATATTGAATAATCTGCATAAAACATTATGCAAAGTGGAGCTGTTTTTTTCACATTGACTCACATTGAGATGTTTAGATAAGCTGGATGTGTTTGTCATCGTCACTCTATCTCAGAATGATAGAAGGATAAGATCTGGCTGAAAGCATTAACTGCAGCTGAGTGTCATATTCTTCTTTTATATTGTTTCACAAATGTACAAGTTCTGACCAGTGAGATCTTTTGACCTGATGATGGTGCTAAATGTACTAAAGATTCAGACTCATTCTAATTCATTAATAACTGCATAGTCTGCATGTTAAACAAGAATATTTATATCTTTCCCTTCAATCTCTTCAGTAGATACGTAGTAAAAGTCATGGAAATCGGTGATTAATTTTAATGCAGTCTTTCTGGTAATACAACCAGGCACAAGCAAATGTTTACTTGTTATTTTGTAGCATTCAGGTCAGTAGAAGGTGAGAAGGTGGAACCAGTGAATCCGGATGGTTTACTGGTCATGAAACTCCTCTAATGAATTAATTTAGTAGTGACAGCTTCAGCAGTTACCCACTCATACCTTATGTTAACAAGACTTTAGTAATAATATATTTGCAGTCATGTGAAAAGTAGGCCACTACCACTATCCTCTTAAGAAGTAGCAGCCAGGTGCTGCTAACCAAATGCATTTGATTAACTGATCATGAGCAAGTGTGAGCACGTCTACAAAAGCAGATCTGGACTCTTCAGGTTTGTGTTAATGCAATGCCAAGGGAAAAAAGACATCAACGGTCATCTTAAAGAAGCAGTTGTTTAATTGTCCTTTAGTCTGTGAAAGGTTACAAGGCCGTTTCCACACACTCTGAAGTCCGTCAATCTACAGTGAGAAAGATTATTCACAAGGGGATCATTTGAATAATCTTCCCAGGAAACCATCACCGTGAGGTCAGATCATGCAGTACTCAGAGAAACTCCAAAAAGAGCTACACCTCAAACTCTACCTCAGTTAGCATGTCAGTTAGCATAAGTTAGCAGAAGACTTGTTTGCATGGGTTTCCAGGAGAAAGCCTGTTCTATTTAAAAACAGCATGGCAGCACTGTTTAGTTTAGAAAATTTGCATCTGAACAAACCACTCTGTACACAGAAATATGATCGAGTGTGTGAGGCCATCTGTCTGACACATGAAGCTTGGCTCGAATTTTGCCTTGAAATAGGACAAAGATCCAGAGCACAGCACCAAATCTACAACAGAATGGCTGCAAAAGAAAAGAATCAAGGTGTTGCAAAGACCCAGTCAAAGTCCAGACCTCAAGTCGATGGAAATGCGAGATCTTAAGAGAGCGGTGCATAAATGAGTGTCTTCAAACTCAAAGAACTGAAGCATTGATGTAAAGAAGAGTGGGCCAAAGTTGCATCTTTATTAATGAGAGACTGATAAAGTCATAAAGTTATTAGATTAGAAAAGATGGTTCTATAATTCATTGATTTATCGGCTGCACTTCATTTGCAGTACAGTGGTCATTATCAGAAACATGCTATACTAGAAGCAGAAGAATTAGGAGAGCCCACATGTAAGCAATATAAAGTAAGCTACCATTAGCACCACTTTAACTGGATGAACTCCCACTGACACCTTCAGTGTTTCTGTGGTACCACTCACGTACCAGCATATGAAAACAGGGACTCTGTTTTGACTGCACATTCCAGACCATCATAACATTTGCTTTGAGAAGAGAGGCTTCAAATAATACGTGCAGGGGAGACGGCCTACTGTGCATAATTACGAATGTAAATCTCAAGCGAGGCTTTCGGAGTGGTTTTCAAAAAAGGCGCAGTGACCACGGTGGCTCCTCGGGCTGTTACTCTGCTTAAAATGAAAAACATAACCTTCATTATCCTGACATTTCGCTTCATCCATCCACAATGGGGGATGTATATAAATCTGTACCAGCCTGATGTATGAGTCCATTTTGAAACTTGATCAGCAGTTAAGAGCAATTTCGAGCTAAGCACATTGTGGAAGCTTGCATACTTTATGCTCTTCCACTTTCCTTAGGCATCATAATGTTGCATGCAGTTTTTTCTTCTTCTTCGTATAATGATTCAAACAAACACTCATCATACAACACGAAGCATGATTTCAAAATCCAGATTACTAAAGGACACAGCATAAAAAAGTCAACTCTGAATATGACAGAAAAGGCAACATAATATTTACTCGCTGCTTCACTCACTTGCTCCAACAAGAGACAACATGTTATGGCAAATAATGACTGCCTGCAGTTATGCATACACACTTTGTTCCTTCAAGTCTGGGTTGGACATGTTTCGCAATATAGCGTAACCTGGGGAAACGTTTTACATCTGCAAATACTTCACAGCAAAGTAGCAGCACTGTATCAGCACTCACTGCCTGCACTTGCCTTTAACCATGCAAATGGACATACCGTCTGTTTCATCTTCATTATTCAGTGCAGCTCATTAATACATATTATAAATATTATATTTTTTCACATTGGAAATAATGATAATTTCTATATCTGATTATTCTATTGATTCTTTCACCAGATGGACGACATTGACGCCATGTTCAGCGCCATGCTGGGGGAGATGGACCTCCTCACCCAGGTGACTTACCAGCCATTGTTTGCTTATATATGTTTATATATACTTATTCTATTCTTGTTGCTTTATAGCACAAAATACCCTTAGAGCCATCTTTTCGAAGCACAAACATTGAATATGTAGGTAATTTTCAGTGGATGAATAATGTGATAGCTCCTGTCCGTTCTGGTGTGTATAGCAATTTACAAAATAGACAAGTTGTAGCTGTGACGACAAAATAAAACAAAGACAAAACCAAGAACTGAAAGAGGAAAGAATGAGTGGATGACGCGTACCCAGGCGCACCCTGAAGATACATTTTTCTGCTTCTTTTTTCCTCCAGTTTCCAATATCTGAAATAAGCGGGTGTCACGTTTTCATCTCTTTTTCTCCATTTAAATTTAAATATATTTAAATTATGTTGTATAGAATGTATTAAACATGACAGGATTTAATATGATACCAATATAAAGTAGCAGAGGAGCTTGTGCCACTACCATATTTTCTGTTAATGAAAGGCATAAATCTCAATGTTCATGCAGCACATAGACAAAAATACATTTTTTTGTTCAAGCTGCCCGTGATTAATTATCTCGCCTAAGGACTTAGAGATACTTTTCTTCTTCAGAGAAGATGACAAAGTAACAAAAACCCACCATCCTTAACTGAGATGTTCGTGACTGAGACGAAACTCACTTTGTGGTCATGTAAGAACCATAAATACCACCCTTTTCTGGAAGGGTGGGTTAAATGGCAAAACCCAACTGAGTAAAGATTACGCCTTTTTTTTCTCCCTCTTAGTAAAAAACCCCATTGATCACTTTAATGTTTTCCATCTCAGTTCTTCCAAGATGGGGTGTCATGTTGTTCATGCAGTGGGTACACTCTCACTCTTGCCCCCCAAAAGAAAAAAAATACAACTCTGTCCTCTGACATAATGCTTTAGAACAGTTTGGTTTCAGAGCGCTCAAACATGAAAGTGTGCTCCTCTGCGGTGGGGGGGGGGGTGGGGAAGTATTTTGGCTGTGCAGAAATTGTATTTGCGTTCTTACAACTACACTGCTTTCTTCATTCTTTGTCTCAGAGTCTCGGAGAGGAAACGGTGCCCCCTGAAGCTCTCTCCAACACAAAGAAGGAAGTCAACTACTCCATCGGCTTCACTGACCTGAATGGTGACTTCACATTTTGACATTATGTGTAGAAACACTACAAAGAGCTGGGCGTTGAGCTTTTGTGCAGTGTCAACACCCGAGTTGTGCAAGGGTGGGATGTGTCGTGTGCTTGCTCAAATTAACAAGAAGTAGCATGGAAATACACAAAATAAAAAATAGAAAAGGTGCACTTCCTGGCAACTGAGGGCACAGATTAAAGTCTAATTACTCACTGTTTGCCTCTAGCTTTAATAAGCTAAAAAAAAAAAAAGCTGCAATAATGTTAGAACAAGGTCACAATATCAGCTGGTGTTAGCATTTAACTTTCCCTTTTTCTTCGTTCATTGTAAATGCCATTAAATCTTGTTAGAGTGAGTTGATAGGCTGTGCAGCACTTTATAACAAATGCCTGCCTTGAAGGACTTTGCAAATGGAAAATGTCCTTGATATAAATAAACTATCAATCACAACAAATGGCTATGTTTTATAAAAGACTATAATCTACATGCGCTCTTGCAGCTCAGTAAGGCTGTGCCCAAATGCACGAGTGCAAACTGTTAATGCCATCCACTTTAAACTTAGCAAATGTATTACTGGGGACCAGAGTACGTGCAACGCAGAGTGAGAGGTAGATTAAATAAGGTGCTTTCACATTTGCGCTAAAGGGTTGCTAAAAGTTGCCTGCTCCACTCTGTGTGTAGGGTTCAATCTCACCATCAACACACATATGTATTTGGCTACAAATTTAACCATCAAAACAATGTGCAAAATTTTTAATTTAACCTTAACATATTTCTATATTAAGATAAGACAAGACAAGACAAGATTAGATAAGATAAGGGGTCAGGGGCCTCCTGAAATGCTTTAATCCTTAGGCAGAGGTGTAAAAAATACTCAGAAAAAAAGGGGGTTGGTCAAAGAAATTTTGATATGTTATCAGTTTGATCCTCACATGATCCCACAAAGATAGTAGAATAAGTACATGCCATTATTTTTCAAAAAATATTTTTCAAATTCTATGTATCTGTAGTTAGCAGTGAGTCGAACAAAATTCTGTCTCGAATGCAAACTTTAGCGACCGTTAATGCAATTGTAATTGTAAACGCAACATCAGACTAGATGCTATAATTGCTCTGTGTGGGATGATGTTTATGCAGACTGGCCTAGTTATTAGGGGGAGATACATAAATAATAAATGGTCATACAGAGTTCAACACTCAATTACTAACAATACAATTATTATAGTAAGATTTATTTATTGTCTTTGGTTTCCTGTGATGAGCAGTTCTCCAGAGCTGCAACCCTTACCTTGAAAAGCCACAGTCACACACATTAGTTAAGTGAGAATGGCCTCAGAGCTGGACTCTTTTCATAGAAGTAACTTTAAGCCAAAATAAAGTAATCCTGGTTGCACTCGCTCCAAATCAGCAAAGGCAAATTATTTTTCACTGGTCTATAACATACAGTTACTTTTCTTTATAAATGTGTTAACTTAATAATGCTTTGAGGAATCTAAATACAGGACAGCCTACAAAAAGCAAAACTAAAATTTGCATGCAGACGAAACTGTTGCTTCCTCTACTGAATTCTGAAACTTGATTCCTCAGTGGAGCAACATTGGGAACATGAATGAGGAATAAAATGAAAGAACTCCTTTCATTGACTTTGTTTAATAAAACATAACTGAAAGGGGAACTTGTTCAAAAAAGGAAAGTTCTTCATAATTAGGGGAAAAAGGCAAATTACTTTGACAAAAGGAACAAAAGGAAATTCTATCCAACAATATTCTCTATTGAGTTACTTCCTGACAAAATGTTTCTGCTTCACCAGAGTCCCTTCATGAACTGGAGGGCAATGACTTGGACGCACTCATGGCCGATTTGATGGCTGACCTCAATGCAACGGAAGAGAAATTGGCAACAGAGATAGAATGCTTGAAGGCACCGTCAGCGTCTCAACCAGACTTCCCACCACCGCCCAAGGGCCTGAGCATCGAACCTGCCCCATCGCACATTTCACCGTCATCTGCAGGAAGCAGAAGCAGCAATGTTAGCACTCCTGTCCCTTCTGCTGCCTCCTCTTTAGCACCTCCACCTCCTTCTGGTGCAAAGCCCACAACGGTGAGTGAGCCCACATGCAGCAATTCTGCAAGTTTAAACCAGAGCATTAATCAAGGGTTGAGAGAGCTAGTTTCGAGGGCAGTGCCACAGGTCAGAAGGAAGAACCGTTTGTTGAGCTCCTGGTAGAACGAATCAACAACGTCACAATCTTTCTTTTATTTGCGCATGTCTTGGTTTACCATGAGTAAATGCTTTATAAGCCATGCGTGACAAGACAGTTTTACAACAAAAACATCACCAGTTTCCAGCACATAAATTTAAGATGAGTTTTGTATGTTTTTGTGAAACCTGGAAGAGTGGTATTGCTCTTAACGGTGAGATCATAGCAGAGTCGTTCCTGGATGGAGGCATCTGTTACAGTTACAGAGACGTGTGAGGCGAAACAGCCGAGGGTCTGTCTGGAACAGATCAAACACATACGGCAATGAGAAAAGTGTAACAGGATCGATAGCAAAGGTTGGGCTTGGAGTAAGGGAGGTAAGATGTGACAGTTTTGGAGGTGGGGAGGGGGGGGGGGAGGTAGACGGGAGCTTATTGCTTTAGCAGAGGTTGTTACCTCATCTGTCTGAGGTAAAAACACCAGCTGTGCTGAGGCAGCGAGTGCGTCACTGTAAGGTAGACGTGGACGAGTTCATTAAAGTTGCAGTCAGGATTTTCACGGGTGATTGCATCTGGAGAAAACAGTAACCCAAGTTAATTGAGATCTAGCAGGTAGGATTTAATGTCCGAGATGGAAGTCTTGCATGGAGATTTCAACACCCACACAGGAGGGGATGAAGTGAAAACAAGACATTACACCTCTTCAAAAATGTTGAAGTGCTACATCACAGAGATAGACTTGCTAGAGTTTGATCTTCTGACTCGCCCTTGGGACCCTTTCTGTAAACTAGAAGTACGTGTCATTACTTTCTTTTTGACACAGATACGACTGTCTTTGCACAGTGAAATATGAAGCCACAAACAGCAGCCAGAAAAAGTTAACCCTAATCATTGGATCTGTATACAGCTTTATGCAACATAAACCTCCTAAATGATGTATAATGATGAGAGCTATAGAGCTGACTGGAACTGGTTCTATGGAAAAAGACTTTGAGTCGGTCACTAATGAGTCACAAAGGTCTCTAACCAAACAATCACGTTGTGTATTGTTTCTAAGGCCTGAATCCACACATGTAAACACACCTGAGGCTACACATAGGAGTGGTTCCACTTGAAAGTAGGACCTAGGTGGGATGATAGGCTCAGCCCCCAAACACTTGACTAGTGTTTGGAAGAGATTATGGTTTTGTTAAAGTAAACAGTTTTACAGCAGTAGATAATAATAGAAAGCTCCATTTTCTGAGCTTCCAGTGGTGGTACTGGTGTACTAGTGTTGAGCTTTGCTTCATTTAAAGGTGAAGATATACTTTACATGCTCTTATTCGCACAGATGTTACGTTCTGCCTTACAGTAAAATGAGCTATAAGTCATAACAGTATTCATAAATGATCTAGTGGGTCATTTTCACATTGAATCACACCTTGAGAGTGCGTCACTGAGGTTGCTCCTAGTTCAAGTGAACTGCAGTAATCTCATTAACCTACACATGTTGTTAACCTCAGAACACCCCATAGAGTGTCATTATATGGAGTAATACTACATAATGCAATTAAGTAAGAGTTGTCTGCTGGGAACTTTGTGTTTTACACCTTTGATGTACAATATCCCCCTCCTCATCATTAGCCCCGTTAAAAATTTAAAAATGACTCACAGAGATGTCTCATGCTTTCTTTTTTTCTTTTTCTTTTCTTTTTTTTGTTACAAAACTGCAATATTTTTTGTTGTGACTCACTTTATATGATAAGAAAGGAATTTTTGGCAACCTTTATTTTAAATTAAAAACAGTTTTCCTTTGAAATTGTATATTGTCGAACAAATACGAGATTATAGCAGGATACACCCTAAATAGGTCGTCAGTCTGTTAAAAAGTGAATTAACACATTTTCTTTATGATTGTGAAGTTTGTTAATTTTCTTTTTGGTGCTTACATTGTACTTTTCTAAAAAAATAAAATAAAATAAAATAAGTTGACGACCATGTACCATCTCATCCCTGTGCACATCTTATTCAGGAGGAGATCGAGGCGCAGATGAAGGCAGACAAAATCAAACTCGCTCTTGAGAAACTAAAGGAAGCTAAAGTTAAAAAGGTAAGACAAGCAAACACCAACTTCTTGTTTTGCCCTCTGAGCTGACGTCCACTGGCAAGAGTAGAGACGTATAGAATTACAGCTACCTGAACATTACTGTAAAAGAGTTAATGGTCAAACATAGCATGGGTTTCCTTTCCTTTTTTCTCTTTTGGAAGAGCCATCAATCACAGTAATGGATGGTTACTTTCATCCAGTCAACATCCCGCAGGACAGTGTGGTTTCCTGTTTGGGGGTGATATGCGGACACTTTCTCATCTTCAAAGCAGCATTCAAAAGCTCAGACATGTGTTCTTGCATGCAAAGCTACACTTCCAGAGCAGCAATTTTTACACAAAACCAAACTAGTTTCACGCAGATGGCATGCCATTCTTTTATCATAGATGACTGTGACTGATACGACTGCCAAGTTTTACTCTTTTACTCGTGATTTGGCTCTTCGCAGTGACCTAGTTCCCTGTTAAGATGGTAGTTACAAATTCTTAGAAGTGAAAACTAAAAAGGAACTTTTTCTAAAAAGCCATGTGTGCGTGTGGAAGCTGAGGAAACACAGGCCACTTTCATATGGATGTGTGTCTCTGGGTTCATAGAAGAGATACAGAAGTGCCAGGTGCACTTCCAGGAATTTCAGCAGAAAGTGGTCAAAGGACCACAAGTTTCAGATAAGCCCACTGGTTTCTTAGCATGTTTGGGGATATTTTTTTATAAGATAGCATCTTGGGGAGAGGAAGTGCTAGGAGGAAAATTAAATTTCCAGCGATAGTTCATTCAACCACATGTCAAAACCCGACTGTTTTTCAAGGGAGGGTGAAACTGAGTGACTTGTGACCTGAAGCTCTAAATCCTCTTGTGATAACATCTCTGAAACCCCCATTTTTATGACAAAAAGCAAGCAACTGGCTGACCTTAGTGCGGTGAAACTCCTCAGCTTTTCCAAAGCAGGATTTCTTACCAGATGAGAGGAATTGTGAAACCACATGAGCCTGCAGGGGGAAAAAATGCTTTGCTCTGGGGCAAAATTAATCTCATCCAACACTCTGAGTGAGGTGCTAAGACTGCAAAAAGACAATGAAGAAGAAATTACAGCAAAGCTCGAATCAGAAGACAGAAGTGCTGATGCTCGAAGTCTTCCAGTAAAGCTAACGTTAGGAGACAGAAACATCCATTTACTGTGCATACCCTGTAATTAAACTGGCAAACAAACAAGCTGCATGTGCATAAAGGCTGGATTTAATGTCTTACACCTGCTGCTGTCCAACATGTTGAAAACCTTAAACTTAAACCTTTTGCTCTGTTTCTTGCTGGGAGTTAGATTAAAAGATGCAGGCTAAATCTAGTTAATGCTAATCTATACTGTAAATGGCTTTCTATGAATACTGTGAATGCAGTTCTGTACACAAGACGAAGAATGTGCTTGTTTGTCCAAAGATTACAAGAAGTATACAGTAAAAATGAGCTTTAACTCTTTTGCGAGTTTTTTTCTTTGGCAAGCTAAGGTAAGCTAATCCAGTTTGCCATAAAAATAGAATTTTTAAAATCTAAAGTTGTGCAAGAACACCAGAAAACATCACTTTTATATACTGGAATGATATTTTTTGTGCTTGTGTGGTAAAAAAAAAAAAAAAAGCTGTGTTTTTCTGTTTGACAGTTGGTGGTGAAGGTACTAATGAATGATGGCAGCTCCAAGACGCTGATGGTTGATGAGCGACAGAATGTCAGGGAAGTTCTGGACAACATGTTTGAGAAGTCTCATTGTGACTGCAATGTGAACTGGAGCATATGTGAGACCAACCCAGAACTGCAGCTTGGTGAGTTACCATAATATAGCATGTAAGCTACCATAGAGTAGATGCTATACAGTGATATGTTGATGGTGTTAACTTCTTTTAGGGTCAAATGACTTAGTCTGATGACCGGTCTGAAATTATCTGACAACCATCGGTTGCTAGAAAAAGATACATATTCCCTGACCGTTTGACAAAAAATGCTCGTGACTGGTTTGGTCAGTAACAAATTGCTGTGGTTGCATCAAGACACCATGGAAACACTTGCTAAGTAACCGCTGAGCATTAGTGAACCAGAAACAGAAACCGTCGTGCAATTTGAAATGTGTTGACAGTTTAGCTTTTATCTTGAAGGTGATTCTCCATTTCTGGTTTCTGTTACACTTTTTTTGAATTTTTATTTTACTACTGCTCGACAAGTCAGTGTCTTACATGCAAACTATGGACAGCCATGGCAACTATAGCAATCATGAGGAGGTTTTTAGTGACCAATTTTATCAGCCAGTAACCTCCAACAGCCACTCACTAACTGGTCAGGGGTAACAGACTGGTGGTTGTATCATGGTCAATACAGGAGACAGTTCTTGATCAATGTGAGCATAATGTCACACCAAAAAACTCTATAGATGACTCTTTGTCTTGACCTTTAAAATGTTCTCTGAATGAGTTTATGGGCCAAGTCACTGATTTTTATTCATAATGACTGAAAAGTTATGTCAGTTTTGTAAATTTTGGTTATTACAAGCGTCAGAAAGGAAGGAACCCTGTAAGGAGTCTGAAGTTCAAATCTCAGTCACTGTTAATTAATGGTAAGTCTAAGTTGAACTGAACAGAAGTTACAGGCACTATATGCAGAATAGCTCGGTCACATATTTCTAGGAGACGGTACTGTATAAAGCTGTGTGTCATCAGCATAGCTGTGGTAAGTGACACAGTGTCCGTTAGTAGAAATATATACTATATGTACCTTTAAAAATGCTGCAGTGAGTCTGATGGGAAATGCAGCCGCAGTGTTGATGGAACCTTTATGGCCAATGATTTTAAGGCACCATTGCACTATGATTCAATATGTAGTTATTTCATAAGATATTTGCCGTTTTAAAAACCCGCAGACAGGTTAAGTGTTTTCAGGGGAAAATAAGAAATCTTTCAGTGCAAAGAAAAAGACGTTTGCGATTCGAGGAGCAGTTTGGAATAAATCAAAGAACTTGATCGCACGAATGAGTAACTACCTAAATGACATTGGCAGAAAATACAGAGAAAGATGTCAAAGTTGTGCTGACACCGCTTCACCGACAAGTGACACCTGGGTAATTTAGTGCAGAAACGCCGCGGCAATAAGCAATAGCTGAGCAGCAAATATATCAAGAAAACCAGAAAAACACAGTGGTGGTATATTACTGTGTTAACAACGCCAGACTTCAGTGTGTTTTTATATGAACTGTCAAACTGTCTCAAACACACTCACACACAAAAATATACACTCACTGTACAAGGTGGGATATTTCATCCTGGTCGAGATGATGGACTGTGTTTTTATTGGCACGGTGGCAGCCAAACTGCACCGAGCTCACAATGAAACACTGATCTTACTCCCATCCATCTCTTTCTTGCCCTCCTCCTCTCCTTTATATTTATATTCTCTGTCGCTCTCTTGCTTACACTCACACGAGGAGTGTAGACAGGTGGGTTTAATTTGCTGTATCGGACACTGTCAGTCATCCTCCCTGTCATGCGGAAATAGAAGCCTTATGATCTCAGGCCTCCGTCTGAGCTGTCTGTGCTATATTTACTTCGGCTGCTGGGCTGCACCTCCATTGGCGGTACCATCTGCTTTTTGTGTTTTCTTACCACTTTATCAGATTTTAACAGAGATAATTGGTGTTTTTAAATAGCCATTTTTCTATATCATACACAGAGATTTGTTTTATTTCATCCTGAAGCAGTTTTAATCAAATACTGGTGGTAAAACCATTAACTTTTGTGAGCAATAAAATATGAGTCGTTATTATTTTGCTTCAAAGAAATTTTATATGCTGTTGTGACGCACAAAATTAATGGCTAAGCGTTGAATTATTCAATTTCTTATTTTAAATTTGAAGATGAAGAATAAGAACATGTTAATCCATTGCAGTTTACATCTTTAGACATTCATCATGATTATATAACTTTAATAATATATTATTTTGCTGGGGACTGTGGTGTGTAGAAAATATTACTCAGAAACAGAAAAATCATAAATTGTTAATGACTGTTTTCAACAGAGGATAAATACACGTTTCTGACAACATGAGAGGACAATGGTACAGAATAATAAACTTTATCAGATTGGGATATATATCATTAGGTTTTTTTCATAACACTTGTTTTAAAAACGTTTTCCTATCAAAGAATGTGTCTGTTAAAGGGTATAATACATGTAAAATAAAAATAAAATCTTCAACTAAGACTTTACTCTTGGTACGGATGGAATAAATCAACAAAGCACTCTCATATATATATCATACTGTACATAAAAGATGGACAAAACCACTGTGACATCACCTATTGGTTTAGACTAGATTGTCTAGATTGTCTTTTTCACAATAATTTTTAAATAATTTTTCGGACATTTTTGCCTTTGTTAGATAAAACAGGGAAGATTAGACAAATGTGGAAACCCAGTGAGCTAAACTACCAGTCATGACATTTACAAGTGAAGGTGGAGTGCTAAAGGTATCAGCTAAAGCTAACTAGCTTGACTGAACCTGCAATTTAGTTATAAGTGTCATATAGAGAAAGTAATAAAGTACTAAAATATCACTCTCAACAACTCTGAAAAACAATTCTTGAATGGAGGAAATTAAATTCACAACAAGCCATATTATTTCTCAAATAATTATACACAAATGCTCTTAAAGTAACAAATTAGATGAAATGATACCTAGCATGTGGATAGCAGCTATGCTAATGTTATCACCAACCTCTTATTTGAAGCAAACAATGCAAACGTCAAGCCTTTGTACAGTTAATACAGAGTTTTTGTTGTTGTTTGTTTGATTTTTATACAAGGCATGCATTTCAACTGTAAATTTGGGCATATTACGTCAGCCACTGGATTTAGCCTCTCCATTCTGAGCTTCAGCATTAGCTTTTTGGCTGTCAGCACACTACATCATGATAATGAGAGAGACATGGCTTCGGAAAGATATTCCAGACACCCTGAATCAACTAGAAAGTTTTTTATGAGTACAGGGAGGGGGATTTATGTGTGTCTTCTTCTTTTAAAGCAAGCCTCAAGTGGCCATTAGAGGAACTGCAGGGTTTAGTAATGTTTTTAATCTCAATTTCAAGTTAAATTCCTCTTCCTTCATTTTGATTTATATTCCCACTTCTATTTGCACCTCATGATAAAGATGACATATCTGTGCTGCTGGTGCAAAAAATAAGAGCCGACGTGCGTTTTTCCCTTTGGTCAGCACTAACCAAATCATAGTTCTTGGCTTAAATTAGTCGTCTGACACACAGACTGCTATCTATAGTGTGCCAGCCATGCAAGAATTCCTCTGTGTGCGCCATTTGACTCACAGGCACAAGAGTGTTTGGGATTTTGTGTCACCTTTGGCTAACTGCACAGAAAAACAGCTCCAAAATGGAAACAGTTAATTCATTTTTAAACCCTTGAACATTACTAACACTGCAGCTGACCTTTAATCTTCTTCAGCAAAACGTCAAAGCAAATCATGCCCAATAAACACCCACAGAGCTCAACGAGCAACACCAGCTTTCCAGAAAATCTCCGCTGTCATACATTCACCCATGTGCTCGCCATGCACACTACTGAAAAGCACCATGTGGTTAATGCAGTTCAAAGGGACTTTTACTCCTAATAACTCACTCCAGCAAGCAAAGTCACACCATCCATTTAATGATTGTAATAGTCAAACTAGTCTGGAACCCTGGCAGCAATTTATTTAATGCCTACCTCTGCCTCAGCTGGTAACCCATAATTTGAGACCAGGGCTAAACTACATTCAAAGGGCCAGTATATGATGGAGATCTACAGCACCAGGCATGTGGGTGGGCAAAGGAGGAAAAAGGAGGAGAAGGAGGAGGAGAAGGAAAAAGCTCTTAATGTGTTTTGGAGGTTTAGTACCATTTAAAGTCCTGCCAGCAAATGCTGAAGGTTGGATTTTATTGGGTCCTCCGTTAATTCAGCTCATTTGAAATAGACAATTGTAAAGCTGTGCGACTGACTTTGAAGCAAGTGCAGCTGATTTAAAGATTTCGCGATGGAGTGATCTACTGCGGCGAAGCATTTGTTTTGACTTGCTTCATGGCACAAAGATAAAGTCTGGCGTGCTTTCTGGTTTGAACAATAGTGCACCGAGAAAGTAAACTGGAGACAGTTTAATCTTCCAAAGTGGCTGAGCCAAACTATATCTCATGGCTGATTGAAGAGAGATCAGCTGGATTTACTGCAGAGATAGAAAAAATAGTGCTTTACTTAAATGTGCTAATAATATCTGACATTCAGAACCACCACATGTTGCATGAAAGGACCAGCATCTGAGAACAAGGGAATAAAAAATAAATTCCTTCAGCGTGCTTTTCACCTCCGGCTCTGAAGACCTTGGACTGCTTTCTGTCATTTTAGTTTTAAAATGCAAAAGTGGGAGGTTACTCTACAGTTCCTAAAAGCATGGGGAAGACCAAGGAGGAACTTGCAGAGGCTGCTATGCATGTATAGCTAAATATATTAGCAAAAAATAAAATACAGAAGCTGTTTTTGTTTTTTTTAATTTTTCAGAGCAGGAAAAGAAACGTATTGCTCTTTGAACCTCAGGCTGCTTTAGCTTTGCAAATGATGACTGTGTTAGAAACAAAAAGAGAACTACTTGTTTCCTTCCGTTGAATTTAAAACGGATCCTGATGAAGGTTCAAAGCAAAAAAATACTAATCTCACGATACAATTTTTTAAAAAATAATGGACTTTTGTCCTCATCAGTCATCCAATCACATCATTTTAGATGTGAGCCTTTCTTGACATTTCACAGGGTAATAATATTCTTTATTTCCACTGTTGTCCAGTGACAGCAGGTATAAATTTTAGTGATACCGGTATATTAAATAAAGCTAAAATTAAGTAAGATGAAGCACCACATGGATAAGCTCCAGCATTAAAATCACGGCTTTTAGACACTTAATTAGAAGGTTTCTTTTTCTTTACTTTAGCTTGATACTTGATACTGTGGACATATGTGTAACAAGATATTGAACTACAGTTTTTTAGGAAGTAGACAAATAACATATCAGAATAGAGACTATAAATAGCAATATGTGTGTCATACGCTTGAGAGACTCACTCAGGTCTGGCTTAAAGTCGCTCTGGCCCTTTGGTACCTTAATATTCTCCAGTTCAAGCCTCTTCATTCCCCTGGCGTGACTTTGCATGGTGGAATTTCAAAAGCTAAACTATGTGAAGAATCTGTCATCTCATTAAAAAAACAGTACATCAAAATGACTCTTCTCCAGCAATATTTCACTATGAATGTGCCAGACTAATAAGTTATACATCTATTCTTTTCTTTTGGCAGAACGGGCGTTTGAAGACCACGAGAACCTTGTGGACCCACTCTCAGCGTGGACAAGGGACAGCGAGAACAAAGTACTCTTCCAAGAGAGACCAGAGAAATATGAGGTTTTCAAAAACCCACAGGTTGGTCTACTTCAATAGTTTCTCTTTTATAAAACTATATGAACCTCTATAAATGAACACTGATAATAAGCAGCGTTCGTGTGGGATCTCACACATCCATTGGGTGAGATGTGGTGTGGCTCCTTATTCTTGGACTGAATTTGTGCAAATCTATCTGCACGTTGTTTCAGCTCTGCGCCGTCTGGTTGTTTTCACCTTCTCAATTAAGCAATGTCTTTTCGTCCGTGCGGCACGACCTCTTACATTTATGTCCACACTGCAGTATATCAAGCGAAACAGCTTCAGGCAAAAAAAGGAGATCTTGGCATGTTTGTGATACAATGAGACCTTTTAATATCTTACAGTATTTAATGGATTCGGTCTGTTGGCAGAGGCAAACAGCTGGGTTGGAAAACCAGCGAACATTTTCTCGTTTTTAAAGTATTCCATCATGTCTTCCAACAAAAGACAGATCTCTTTCATACAGTATGTCCTTATTCATTTACTATTTGAGCTTTTGACACGAACTACCAAATAGATTTTCCCTCTGGGCTTTTCCTCACAATGAAAACATACTGGCTCGGACTATGATATGACGTCAAAGTATTTCACTCATACAGAGAAAAAGGGATTGAGACCCTGATGTTTTTTGTTTTTTAAAGGTTATATGACTTCTTCTGTTCTTTTAGAGAATGATATCCTTTAGTTTAATTCCTTAACCCTTAAAACCTTGAAGGTAGAGGAGCTAAAACTGCTCGTTTCAGACAGAGGATGAACCGACAAGCTGCATCAAGGCCCAGTGAGATAAATAAGCTTTTTTCTGAATTGTTATTCATGCAAACCTTCTTCATATGATTCCAAGAAGAAAAGAACTGAGCTGTAAATAAGTCTAATAGGTCCAGTTTAAGTTGTTTTACAAAGAGGTGGCCTAACCAATAAACCAACATGCCCGTCCCTAAAGCAATAATTCAAGCACTTTGTTTTGTTCCTGCAGAACTTTTATCTGTGGAAGAAGGATAAGACAACTCTCAGAGATATGAAAGATAAGGACAAAGAGTTATTAATACAGGTAAAACACACTCACATACAACCTATAGGTGTAACATCATCCATAAGGTGACTTTTTCCTATTAGTAACTTACCCTTTCATCCCCTCCTCATCTCTGCAGGAGAACTTCTGCGGGACTTCCATCATCGTGCCTGATCTCGAGGGGGTGCTGCATCTTAGAGAAGATGGAAAGAAGTCCTGGAAGCAGCGGCTCTTCCAGCTGAGGGCCTCGGGAATTTATTATGTGCCCAAAGGGAAGACCAAGGTCAGGAGTCAAAAGGAGAATGCAAGAGAGAAAACACACGTCCAACTGCTAATGCTCTGATTCAGCCGGCCTCAGACATGCTGAACAGGAGTGGTGAAAGATGAAAATCCCACAGATACAGAGATATTTTTGCTATGTCAACTGAAACCCTAATGAAGTGTAATATCAAGTTTTTTCATCTTTCCAAGGGACTGTTAAGAGTCTTTCAGCTTTATTAACCCCACTTTTGTGTTATGCACCGCAGGATATAACTGGGGTTATTACTCCCCCTCTGATACCTGCAGTGTACATGCCACATATCTCAGATCTTTTGGCAGCTCCTGCTCCCAAATAACCATTTATGCATCACATTATACCCTGCTACTGCATCTGTAGGGTAGATATTGAATTTAGTTGGCACAGAAACAGGTAAATGGCAAAAAAGAAAAAACCCAAACCGAACAATCGTCTTTTGTTCCCTTTCAGTCGTCCCGTGACCTCGTCTGCTTCGTCCAGTTCGACAACGTAAACGTCTACTACGGCAAAGACTTTAAGAGCAAATACAAAGCTCCAACTGACTTCTGCTTTGTGCTGAAGGTAAGGCTGCATATCGATTCAGCTCGCTTCAAAGCCACACGCCACACGCCCTTTCATTGTGGACCTGATAAACGCAGAAGCTGCAACTTCCTTCACACTGTGTGCTACACTAAGTGCTGCACTATTTAAAAGATGCTAACCAAAGTGGTGAGCGTGGCAAGCCCTGCAGCTGCCTGCATGGCTGGAAATTTTCAAAAGCAATTAATACTTCGATTTAAAGAAGTGAAACAGCACCGTTTTGTCCTATTTAGTCTCAAAAGTGGCAAGAATTTTAAGAAACTTCCTACTTCTTGTAATCATTTACACAAAAGTACTTTTTGTCTATTTAAGAGTGATTTTAAAGTGTAATAGTGGCAGTAGTTTGAGGTACTTACAGTAATCATTTAAGGGTAAAAAATGCTGACGGACGCAAAAGCAAGAATTAGATGGTTTGCTGGTCAGTGTTAAAGGGATGTGAAAGTCTGCTTTTTTTCTTTTCCCCTATCTTGTCTGGGAAACACTAGAATCAGCAGATCCCATTAGACTAGATGTTGAGGAGCAGAGCAAAAAGAGCTTAGAGAAGCAAAGAAACTGAATTAGCTTCAAGTGAAAGACAAAATACTCGAGGCTTGGGTTGAAGGGAATAAGGTGCTGCTGCAAGGGCAAACAGAAAATTACCTTTCAGAACTCCAGCCAGGTTTCAACTGGCCTCCTTACCTTAAAGTTAAACTTACAAAGTAAATACAGTAATAGCTGAAGCTGTTCTTAGCTGCCAGAATGTTAAATTAGCGTTTTGACAGATTGATGAGGTGGCGTTTATGAGCTGACAAAAAACTGCTGCAATTCAAGGACGACAACAGAACAATTTAGCCTCATCAATTTGCTGTTAAATATTCAGAGGAGCAGCCGGAGGTGATCTCTAATACCACCCCCATTATGAATAACCAAGCTTCTATAACTCATATTGTGTCATTACAAGGTAATTTAACTTCGGCTTCAGGGAGGGAAACAATAGACTGGGGGAATTAATGTTACAGTAAGTGTTTATGGTCATAAAGTTGGCATATGTGGATATCTTCTTGCATGGAAGCAACAACAAAAGCAAAACGAACATCAGCCTTCTCACTAGTCGCAATAATATTGAATTACATGATCCATCGGAGGACTGGTTTCTGTTCACACCTGCAAACAGAAATATCCCACAAAACAGGAAGTGAATATATATATTTATTATTTATTTGACTTGCACCAAACGATGTGCTTCTAGACCCACGCTGCCCCCTTATGGCTCTCTGTAATATCGAGGAGAAGGTAAACAATAGCAACAAGTAGGTCACAGTGTAGCAGGTTTAGCCTGTCGTTGCCTCAAAACCAGCTTAGTGTGGATTTAATATAAGTGACTGTCAATATATTTAATTAAGATAGGGTTCCTGTAATGAAGCAGATTTGTGCAGTTGGGTTTTTAGGACATAAATTATCATGGAAACTTCAAGCTAATTTCTTGAACTCTTTAAAATCTGTACATCTGAGCATGAAAACAGTCATGAAGACTCATAAATTATTAATGCTTTTATGAGAAGATGAGACTCTGCATGTGCATAAAACTGTTCAGGGTTTCAACTTACAATCATTTTAAATCCTGATCAATCTGCCAGAATGGACACGAAGGAACTGGACCACTTACAGAGTTACACCAGCTGTTCAGCCATGGAAATCCATACCGTTAAGCTCCTGGTGCGCAGTTTTTGTGCTGATGTTAATGTCAGAGGAGATCTGGAGCTCTGCACTTACTGAGTCACCAGAGCCTTGGCCACTTGTACAAACTATGTGCCTCAGCAATCAGTGAACTTTATGTGGTTTGACACTTTGTGGCTGAACTGCTGATATTCCTTGTTTGCAGTTTGCAATAATCCCATTTACAGCCAATGGTGGAATATACAGAAGAGAATTAATTTAATGAATGACATGAATGACCTTATATTTAATGGTAAAATAAGTCCTAATTGGCTATGGGTTGTTAATTTCAGTTGTTAAAGTTGTTAAAAAACATTTCTTTGGACATCGCGAGTTTAATTTAGAAGGTGGGATTGATGCAATCCGGCTGATCACTTGCCACATATACATAACATCTACAGGAGCCATGAAAGCCTCTGGTCCACAGTTTTTGTGCTAATGCTAAAGGAGCTCTGTAATATTATGCGGTCTTGCTACAGTTTCTAAACACTACAGTTTGTAATAACATAACTTACAGCTGATCGTGTAATATTGAGAATGGAAGATATTTCAGAAACGAATTTGTTGCAATGGTGGCATCCTGTTGGAACATCCAAATTCATCATTCAAATTCAGTGAGTTCTTTAGTAGAGAAAAAACATCCTTCACAAATGTTTGTAAAGCAGATTGCACAGTTAGGTGCTTGATTTTATACACCTGTGGTGATGGGACTGAAAACACAAGGAATCAAAGATTAAAAGGTGTGGCCCAATGTTTTTTCCATGTGGTGTTTTTGATTGGCTGATCAAAAACGTATAAACGTATGTGGCTTTGCCTCTGCAGCATCCTCAGATCCAGAAAGAGTCTCAGTACATAAAGTACCTCTGCTGTGATGATATTTGGACCATGAACCTTTGGGTGACTGGAATACGGATTGCAAAGGTAAATATGAAAACTGTACAAAATACAGTTTTTCCTTAAGCAAAGATACAAAATCGAGTTGTCTTTTTCTTTTTCTTGAAGTACGGGGCATCGCTGTATGAAAACTTTAAAACAGCAGAGATAAAGGCTTCTAACTCTGTGTGGACGAACCGCAGCACTCCATCGAGCTCCAATCAATCAACGCCCTCACCCACAGTCAAAGGTAGCATGACATGCAATTTCTCCTTCACTGATTGTTTCATTGATCTGATGCAGTGATATTAGCACACACTTTTTCACTTGTACTGAAAGTTCACTTGAGTGTTTCTCTTCCTCTTCCAGCTAAATCACCAAACCAGGCCAACGGTCATGCTACCAAGCCGCAGCCAGGACCTATTTCTCAGGTAAACAGCACTTCATCAGAAGGGAAGCATTGGTTAGCCGTTATTGTGACTGTTTTTATAGTTTAGTCTATAAAAACAAACCATGCATAGGACAAACTGAAGCTAGCTCCTACATTTCCCATAATGCCATCAACACTATTTATCCAGTACAAGCCCTCTCCTCTTCTTTTGTTTAAGAATCTTTTCCCTTCCTGTCAATCTTATATCATTCAATTTTATTCTAACTTATCAGAATCCAGCTCCACCACCACCACCACCACCATTAGCCGAGGTCCTCCCCCCACCACCCCCAGACCCAGTGCTCCCTCCTCCTCCTCCTCCCATGGCTGCCAAGACTGCCTCAAAACCCACCCCCCCAAAGCGGAATCAACCAAACAACTTCCCTCCACCTCCACTTGATATGGACAATCTCCCTCCTCCACCACCACCTCCGCCCACTGACGACCACTTAGAGGCTCCGCCAGACTTTCTTCCACCACCTCCTCCAGCTACTGGCTTTAATTCACTGCCACCACCACCTCCTAGTTTTGGTGGCGTGGACCACTCTCTGCCCCCGCCACCACCAGATCCAGTGTCTTTGCCACCACCTCCACCTGACCCAGTGTTTGTAGCTTCTGGGGCTCCACCACCACCACCACCACCTCCTCCACCACCACCTGCTGCTCCTGTCGCCACCCTAAGACCAGCTGTGAGGACCTCTGGGTCATTGAAGAAGGTTCCTCCGGCTCCACCAAAGAGGACTGCACCAACGCAAGGAGGCGGAGGAGGTGGAGACTTCATGTCAGAACTGATGCTAGCCATGCGGAAGAAGCATGCAGACCAGTAGCCTGAACAGAGAACTTGTGGACTATAAATACAGAATGAACTATGCCTGCACAGCCAACAACTTAATCAGCCTTTTCTCAAAGATGAAGCTAGTGGAGTTCTCTGTAGATTTCCCCTTTTAGTCATTCATCCTTTTTCTGAACAGCTTCCAAGACAAAAATGAGTTAACCTTTGAAAAAAAGTTCAGTTTTGAAAAGCATTTGAAAACGTTGGGCTCAAAAAGACTATTACAGTTTGCTTTGTCATGCTGTTATCATACTTCCATATTGTATATATATTTGCATACATAGCTGTAAATACTGTAAAAACACAGTCATTGTGTTACCAGTAAATATACAAGTTAGATAGTTTGTTTTCATTTGACTCTTCAACCCACCTAAATAAACCCTTGAATCTCCTGGCTGTGCTGCACCATCAAGATCTGTATTATTAAAATATGTTGTTGCTTTGCTGGACAAGTCGTCAGTCTGCCGCAGGGCCAGCACAGTCTAGACCTCATGGACATGGCTAAATGCTGTGCTTCCTCCCCTCAGACAGGCTTTCACAGTAACCACCTGCAGTCGGTGCTTGTTTGTGGATCTCTTTGCCTTTTGGAGCAAATATATTGCCCAACAAATGACACATCACACCAAAATATGCTACAAGTTTTTTATTAGGAGGTAACTCATGACGAACAGCTGACCTTTAACCTCCTAGCCCACTGTGGAGGTCTTGCTGCATAGCCCGCCTCCTCTGCAGTCTCTTGTGTAACAAAGGGTGAGGACAGGATGTGGTGCAGCAGCTCCACCTAGTGGTAAAGTGGTAAAGTAAACTGTAGTAGAAACAAATCATAAACAACTTTGGGTGTCGTTTTATTTGTTTTGTGTGACAGGTCCTTTTATCAGACACATACCTCGGAAAAGTCATTCCTCTCAGCTTTCCTTATTGCAGACTCTGCCATCCAGTTCCTCAGCACATATCTCGGATTTACATCTGTAAAACATTTAATCCAATCAGATGTTTCGGTCACCACTGCATAACAAACATCTAAGAATATAAATATTTATATCCCTCATCGTTTAATCAACATTAAGATTTAGTTACAGTTTGATTTACTTTTCATCCTGTGTTGACGATCCAAATCGCTATCATCCTGCTGTCTGAACAGATACAGAGGAAAGAGATTAATTCACAGCAACAAACATCCTGATGTCACACAAATGTAAATAAGTAAATTCAAAATGACCTCTCGTGACCTTCCTTACCTACTGAGCCGGAACAGGTACTTGTTAAGCCAATCAGAAAAGTGCTTGTGGTGTGATAGGTCATCAAGAGCCCACATCTGATTTAGAAATAATACAATCCTTTACATTTCCTGCATGCCTAATTATAAGAAATGCATGCTGTGCAAGGAAAGCTCAGTATTGGTACAACTGATTCAACAGATCGGCCAGCTTCACAACAAAATCTAGAGATTGAAAGGAACAACAACATTTTGTCACTTTTAGCTCCACCTGCGTGAAGTTCTTGTTAAGAAGCTGCTTGGCTGAAACTTCGCTGAGCTCCCTGAAGGTCATGGTGAAGTCAGACTCTGTGTCCTCCATCATCTGTAAAGGGAAAATGAAATTACAGTGCAGAGAGTGAGACTAAACTGATTTAGAAGACTGAAACAAACTGTATAATAACAACCGCAATTGGCTCACTTTAAGCAGGAAAGCAATGAGGTCGTTATCGTCCTCATCTTCACCAAGAAGTCCCAGTTTTGCCTTAAATATCTGGTGAACCCTGAAGTGGAGACATGAATAAATGCAGTCTTGGCTTTGCTGCAGCATGAACACAAGTAAGATAACATTTCACATGAAGCTCACCTCATTTGGTAAATGTTGGCATATCCTTTAAGAATAATTTTCGCCCTGCAAAAAGTTAAGATGACAAGTTTACAATTTGACTTCATGAATTTCTTCAAATTAGAAAAGAAGAAGTCACATTAATAAACTCGAAGGTTTAATAAGCAGCTACGTATATCCCACTGAACTTTTACCTCCGTTTTTTTTTTTTTTACCTATTTGCTTTTTCAATAGATTACAATATTTATGCAAAAAAGTAAGTAAACATTAGCATAAGAATTTTAGCATTTTAGGTTGCATCATTGAATAGCTTCACTCAGGCTCTATTCTTGACCACTCCTCTAAACATCTCTTGACTGTCTCTACTGCCTAGTTTGAATTCACCGGCAATATTTTAATAAGATTTAAATCCAGTCTTTTGATTACGCAGCTCATTATTTATACTTTTTGAACCACATTTGTGTTAGTTTTTTAGAGTTTTCACGATCCACTGCAGCTTAAACTTTCAGATCACTTTGTCTTCCTCCACTCTTTGGAACATTTCCAGTCAACACAAGTTAAGTTATACTCCTGAACAGCTCCTAAAAACATTTGAATTGTCCGTCCAGAGAACATCATTCCAAAAGTTCTTGTATGTAGTTCAGCAATTGATACATCTCGTGACTTATTATCCATGGAATTTGTGCAATCTCTTCATGACTGTTACAGCCCTAGCAGGCCTAGTGTGTGTGTGTGTGTGTGTGTGTGTGTGTGTGTGTGTGTGTTGGTGGATATGTCCTGTTTCCAACTGCAGTATAAAAGCTTGAGAGAAGCCCCTGAGCCTCAGAGTGTGGGTCAGCTCCAGTAGTTTTGTGATGTGTGTTTCTGCACTAGCAGTAAGTGGTTGTGTTCTCCATCCTGCAGAGGATTGTTCTGTGGTGTGTTTTCTTTTAGGGGCTATGAATGCATAGTTGTTGCCTTCTTTGAGCAGAATTGTTTTTCTTTGGTCTGTTTGTTAAATTCCCTTTTTTTTTGCAGCACCTCTGTTTTGCTGACACCTTCATTTCTGTTGTTTGATTGAACTGTGTCTTTAAGTTGAACCTTTTAATAAAGTTTCTTTTAAAAACTGCATGGTTTGCTTTTTCACACAGATCTTCCCGTTGTTTTTGCTTTCATCCCCAGTTCATTTTCGAGGGATATAAAAACAACTATAGATGATTCGTCTCACAGGGAAAAATACATTTACAAGAATAATCCAGAACTTTTTTTGACACCTTAAAAAGATTTGAAGATATTTGTATAAGGACAAGAAACACTAAATGGTTGTTTGCTTTGCTGGGGTCAGTTTTCATAAGAGGGATAGATTTAAAGTGAGGGGTGTACTTACTTTCCATGTGGCTGCTTTCATTTTGTTGCATTGTATGACTACTTTATTTCTACACTTTCTCAAAGAAAATCTTTAAAGATATATTTGAATTAAAATATGCTGAAAATAAATTGTGGGATGTATTATTCTTTTCACATCGCTTTGTGTGACTCTGAAGTTATTTTGCTCGTGTTTCTGTGCTTTTGTTTTTCAAACAAACAAACAAACAAACAAACAGGCTTCTGTAAGAACGAGCTAACAGCAAAGCTGTTCCAGTTTGTCGAAATGACAAAAAGAGTTCAAGTCCTGTATTTAGTAAATCCCCCTTGAGACAAAGTGATGTTGTGGTATTCTTACTGTTTCTGTTGTGTCTGTGTAAGCACAGGAATCAGAGCCACCAAGAGTTTCTCTAGATTGAAGAGGCCAACATTTGCCTGAGCTCCAATGCTGTACCTGCCTTCATCATCAGATGTGTTGGGGATAAAATCTGCAACAAAAAGAAAAATATTTGTCTGAGAACTGACAGCAAGAGGATTTCAGTTATTTTGGAGTAAAAGCGACATGAAACAGTCTACACACTGGGGTTATATGACTCCATAAAGCCAAAGGGTCCGTAGTCGATGGTGATAGAAAGAAGACTGAAGTTGTCTGTGTTGCACACACCTGTGGTGAGAACAGCGACAGCTATAAGTAGCGTTGGTTTAAACTGTGTGATAAGAATGTTCAGTTTCTCACCATGTGCAAAACCGACTGACATCCACTGGGCAATCAGATGTGCCGTTTCATTTACAACTGTGGAAAAAAACACCTGCAAAGAAAACCTCAATAGCTTATTTACTTAAAACAAAAGCGGTACATTCAGCTGTGCTTTTTTATTACTCACCAAATATTTTTCTGGGTTGTCTGGATTTATAAAAGGGAAATGTTCGTCTATCACAAAGTTCAACAGCTTTCTAAAACGAAAATAACGATAAAATAACATTACAAACACAACAGGACACAGAACAAAGCCAGATGTCAACAACTATGACGTAAACTTTGTCATGTGACCAGGCAGTCTTACCTCAGAAGATTTATTTCTCCACTTTGAGACAAAATTTCTAAGGATCCAATCCGAAACCATGACTTGGCCAATCGCAGAACAACAGCTCCTGTGGGGAATAAAGAAAAGCTGAACCAGAACAAAGATTAAGGCAGCAGATAAAACAAAAATGATGCTGGATTGTTAAAAAGTAATGCAGTTTGAAATAAAAGGCTCCAGTCATGGGTAAATCCTGTACCTCTCTCTGCTTTCACATTTCCATTGTAGAACTGATCCCTCAACACTGGCTCCTCACTGACAATCAGACTAAAAAAAAGAATTAGCGGATAAATCTAAAACACATAACAATTAAATGGCGACAAAAACCACACGATTCACACAATTTCTGGGTTATAATTTCTTTAAAAACACCTCTTTTTTTGCAAATGCCAAAAAAATGTTCTCGTCATATGAGTCAAGCTCGTTTGACTTGAACTAATTTTATGTGAATGAATGAAATATAAATTGATAACACATTTCTGCACATCAAAAGTCCTGATTGACAGTTATTAGGGTAAAATTTGTAGTAGGTAAAACTGATCATTGCCTTGTGTGGATAAAAACACAAAGTCCAATGCCAGAAAAACTACTGCAAAAGCTACAAGTTTTATGGTTTCGGCTAAACAGGGATGTCAACAGCCTTTAGCCCGAATCAATCACTTGCTGGGAGTTAATTAATGATAATACAGTGCTAAATCAGGTAAAGAAGCACTTGGAAGCCAAACATCCGTCTTTGCTACTGAATCTGAATCAGAGGTACCAAGAATGTTTGATTGCTTGTAAATGTCTGATTAAGCAAATTATTATTACTACATCATGGTAAAAACAAATAATTATCATCAACCAAACACATTTCTTTACTTTTTGTGCTAAGTTTGTAATCTTATACCAAACTTATAGCTCTCAAAATCATTTATTCTCACCTGGCAGCCCTGCTGGTGGGAACACCCAGGAAATGCATCGCTTCACTGCACAGGAACTCCCTCACAGAAGACCGGATAACAGCACGACCATCTCCTGACCTGCAGCCAGATGTGAAGTCATACTTTTTTGGTTGCATTGCATGACTGCACAATTCTACAGCCATGCATACTAATATTAATAGCCATGCGTACTACTTATTCATTTTTAGGGGTCATTACGGCAGATCATCTGCCTCCATGTCACCCTCTGCCTAGCATCCTCCTCTGCCGTCCTTCAAAACATCATAGACCCTACAATTAAAGCCCCTACTCTCACCTCCACGCTCCTGCCTTTCCTTCTCTTTAGCTATCTCCTAACACACCTGTATATTACTACAAATAATAAATGTAATAGCTATTGCACAAATATATGTACAAATAAATACAAACCTTGAATATGGTGTTTTTCCAGATCCTTTAAGCTGGAGTTCCCATACCTCCCCCTTTCTATGAAAATTGAGAAGGAAAATATGTAAAGGCTTTAAGTGGCAGAAAATTACTTAAAACATAAAAACATAATTTTAAAAAATTAACTTACTTGTTTGAATACTGACCAAGGAAATGAGCTCGACCATCACCCAGCTGGCCTGCCCAGTAGCCAAACTATCGAGGAAAGTAAAGCGTGTCAAAAAGATCAACTCAGCAAATAAGCAAAAGCTTTAAAGCTTTTAAAAAGTTATCAGGTATAAAAATCATTTATACCTGATGACCTCCATATCTGTGAGCAAGTGGCACAGACCCCGGCAGTAGTCTGCCACCACTCGCATAATGCAGAAAATCACCTGACCGAGTCACTGACGCATCTAAATCTAAGATCCCCTCGATGACATCCTGTTAAGACAATTTTAGACATAAATGAATTCACTATATTGTGAAATTACAGTGCTGATAGTGACATGGCATCCTCACCTTAGACGCTGCTGTCAACCTCAATGGACCTTTCAGTGGAGTTGGAATGGACTTGGAAAATATGCAGTTCTTCACAGTGCGAACAAAGTTGGCATCAACTTTGTCGATTGGGAGTGCCTCTGCAGAGAGGACAGAGGGGATTGTATGATAACATTAGAGCCTTCCTCTATATTTTGACCTGTAAGGACAAGAATCTGTTTTACCCAATAGCTTCTTGCAGGAGACTCTGAACTGGTTGAGGTCGTGCATGAGGCTTGAAGCATTCAAGGTCCACTTGGACTTCACAGTGTGCGATGACGATTGGCTGTTTGATGCGGTGTTGTGGTCACTGTGACACTCAGGACTTATATTTTGGCACAACTCCAGGACATACGCAGGTGTGAAGCTCGATGCTGCCACCAGAGCAAAGACTAGTGCTGTACAGGTGCTCCACATTTTCACAGATGGAGCAGCTGACTTATCAAATCAGGCTTCAACTTCTCTCTGGCATGCCCCACTTTAAGAAGGTTCGTACCAAACGCCCCACAGTTTTATCAATCATTAACTTTAAAAAAAAATCATATTATATTCTAGTTCACCTTAATTTTGTTTTATATTTTCACCTGGTTATCCACATCCACAGCCCAGGGTTTGAGAAGTACTGCATTAAAGATAGCAGATCTGAGGGAAGCAATAAAAAAGGGTAAACCACACTTCCCCTTAGTGCTTATTCTAAGCCAAACAGCTGATCTTTTACTTATGATAGTAAAAAAAAAGACTTAGTCACTATTAATAGGCTACTAAAGTGTTAAGTAAAATATAATTTTTGTTTGGCATTAAATGGAAATACTAGAGTGATGTAAAAGGATCTTAAAATTGTATTTCAGGACTTTTAAACCTTAATCAGAGTAAATAAATTATCAGTTGCACGTTACGTT